GTTTTTTTTCGCTTCCGAAAGGCACGGCCGTGACTCTCGCTAAAGCACAACCGTGCCTCTCGCGAAAGAAAAACCGTGACCTCCGCGAAAGGAAAAAAAAAAAAACGCGTTTTTTCACGCAAAAAAAATTCAGAATTTTTTTTATCGAAAAGCTAAAAAAGACAGAGGGAAACCAAAACGTCAAAAAAACCAAAAAAAATCGTTTAAAAAGCCGAAAACACGTGCGGAAAAATAAAAAAAAAACAAAATCCGTAGGAAGCGTCCAGAGCGCGACACGTGGCAAATGGCTGAGAGCGCGCCAAGTGGCGCTGATCGTTGCGAGGCTACCGAAGGAGCGCTCGTTAACTAGTTGCTCCCCGCCCACACCTACAAACCACGTAGCCGCCAGGGCACCCGATTCCTAATAGCAATCGCCTACGTGCGACAATAACAGGCCGGCCCATTTTACCGCGCGTAGGTTCGCTTGTTCCGGCTCATAGCGGTCATTGTAGGTCTGGTTTACTACTTTTTTATTTTTTTTCTTTCATGTTATTTGTCCTTTCACCGGTTTTCCTTTTTTTCATTTTGTTTTGGTTTTCTTTGTTATGTCATTGGTCTTTTATTTCTTTTGTTATAATTTGGTTTTTTTGTTTCTTTCTTGTTTTTATTCATTTTTTGTTGTTCCTTTTGTTTCTTTGTCGGTTTTATTGCATCCCCCCGCCCACCACACACACACACAATTCTTCCTTTTACTCAATACATAATGTACATTTGTAGAGCACATGTGAAACATTTTTATGAAACAGTTTGGAAATTTTTTCAAATACATTATGTACATTTTTTAATAGACAGTAGCATTTTTTCCAAATACATGTTCTATATATTTTAATAAAAATAAAAAAAATAACAAACAAGTACAAATTTTACATTGTACAAACATTTGTAAAAATGTCAAAACATTCTTTTTTGAATCGACAAATTGTTTCTGTAAACTGTCACGTACATTTTTTTAATCATGCAATTTTTCTACATTCTTTTTTTAATGTCATAAAAAAATTAAACTCTTGAACATTTTTTAAAATGGTTTGCACATTTTTTTAATGTACAAAACACTTTTTTAATTAGTCGAATATTTTTTGTACATTGTATAAACATTTTTCTAAAATGGGCCAAACATTTTCCGTACACATGATTAACATTTTTGCATACATGTTTAAAAAACTCAAATGCATGATTAACATTTTTGAAAAAAATGTGCACACCATTTTAAAAGGAAAATATAAGGAAAAAAGTTAAGCAAAACCGGAAACAAAAATATGAAATAGAACCGAAAAACAGGGTGACGGCGGCAGGGGGGTCACTGGGCGAAAACTTACGTGTCTCTACGGCCAACAAGAACACAAGACGACGGTGGAAATGCGCGAGGAGCAGAGCGCATGCACGGCGAGAAGATTGTCCGATTCGCCGTCGCCTTCGCTGGGGGTTTGCGATCGTACCGCCAACCGGGATCGAAATATAAATCGCTGCACGAACGGCCCAACCTCCAACAGTCGAGTTAAAGAAAAGGCGTCCACGGGACCGCCTTGCGCCAATGTTTTCGACGTGTGCAGGCTGCAGGCACAGATGTATGTAATCGTGTAAATGGGATGCAGCGCCCCCTCTCGTTGGAGGAATCTGATCATGAACGTGCCAAAACCCCTTGTCCTGGCAGGCAGGAAACCCCTAGCGACGACACGACACCGGCAGAGCAGAATACACGCACCCCCAAAGATCGACCTGCTTTTAGTAGCAATGTGCTGTGGCTTGTGCGCGCCCGTGCGCGTAGCATTGTCCGCTTCGGCGTCAGCTACATGCGCTGGGCGCCGTACGACCGTGCATGCGAGTGGATCAACGAACACGCTACGCTGCGCATAGGAGGACGAGGTAACTCGATGGCTAACATTTTTGCTCGCCAGGAGCACCGAGCTAATCAGCGGAGACGTTTCATCATTTTACCATTCTTCCGTATACAGGTGGAGGTTTCCGTCCAACGTTTGAACACCACCCGCCCCCCAAGTTCTAGGACTGATCCTGAGCATCGAAACGGAGCAACACAAGTCACACGGAACAAATTCTACCCAACACAAACCCCCCGCATTGCATCATGAGACGAGATATCCTGCAGCAGCAGCAGCAATTCATCAGCTGCTGCCACCGCCTCGTGCGCCACACATAAATGCAGACAGAGCACAATTCCCATCCATTCCACGCCACAGGATTTCATTTCTCCCCGTGGGGCTGCTCGGCCCCCTTTTTCCAGTTCCAGCCCCGAATACAACAAGAACACGCCCGATCCATCCATGGATCGATTTACACACGGCCACGCACGCACGGCGCAGTTAAAGGCTCCAGCTGTGCACTGCACGCACGCACGCACGGGCGGCAGCAGCAGCGGCAGCAGCTTCAGTGGTCATATTGCTCGTGCATGTGGCCTCTGCTCTGCTGCCCGTCCCGTTGGCGGTCAGATGATTGATGGCTAGGCCTAGGCCAGCTAGCTGGACAAACAAACTCGGGCCGGGTGGCTCTTCAGGAGGCTGGCTGGCGATGGCATCAATCACATTTGGTAGGCGTCCTGGGACGGCCTGATGCTGAGGTCCTGCGAGTGCGAGTGCGAGGAGCCCATGGACGGGTACGCCATCTGCGCAACGTGATCGCTGAACGGGCCATTCAATGCGTGGGCCATCTGCGCGATCCAAACAACAAAACCAAACGGAAACATTATCAGCAAGCAACCAATCTATAGCTTCAACGTGTTAGTAATTCATCATCCACATGTTGTTTATGCATGAGGCTGCCGCACACGTTAGCTATGTAAGCATGCATGCACGTACATGTTCAAATTATTCATTTCATACTCCTACTGGCCAGGCCAGGCCAGGTGAATGGATCTAATAGGCTGCTAGCTGCTAGCCTACAGGCATAGGTCTCGGTCACACTATGGTCTATCTAGCACATTGGTAGGCTGTGGATCTTTGGGAGCTGTTGACTCCCGAGGTACTATAGTTTTGGGGGCAAATTAAATTGTTTATCTTAATGAGGTGTGTCATCCTCTACCTCGTTGCTGGAGTAACTAAACACGGTATGCATACCAGTATATGTCAGTCGTTGAAGAGACGCTAACCTGTGAATGGGATCCATCTTTTGCTCCTAGTTGCGCTTGCATGATTCTTCTGAACACGTCCGAGTTCGCCATGGCGGCGGCGCCTCCCTGCATCAGCCCCGGCTGCGACAGCTGCAGCTGCGGGTGCATCATCTCCGGGGAGAATCCCATCGACGAGGAGGACACCCCAGGGAAGCGAAGAAGCTGTTGTTGACAAGGGACCGTTGGGCATGCATGGTTAGTTCGACACTCCTTGAAAGCAGGCAACTGGTTGTGGAGGGAATTCATATATAAGCGATGATGCTCTTACATCCTTTGAGAGAAGCCCTTCTATGTTGAGGTCAAGCCTCGGGTTTACTGTCGCCAGCTTCATCGATAAGAACTGCAGATTGCAAAGGGAGTGAGTGTCAAAACTCTGCGGTGGTTTACCATCACTGACGTGCCAGTTACTAGAACACACTACTGATCAGTTATCTGTATCCACTGATCACTGAAATGCTAGTTACTAGAGCAAAGTACTCAGTTATCTGTACCCAGTGATCACTGACATGCTAGTTACTAGAGCAAAGTATTCAGTTATCTGTACCCAGTGGTTGTACTTCTTCCCTTGCACCTGACACGCAGTATGTTCAAAGCTAAAATCCTACTAGTATGCTCAGGTTGCCTAGATAGATTCTCAGACGAATTGTTGGTCGTTACCTCGACTTGTCTTTGCAGGGACTGAACATAGTTGATGATCTCGTCGAGCATCACCGCCTTCCCGGTGACCTGAATTCAGTCCATGACACAGAACATCCTTTACATTTTGCTACGAAATACTAGGACTGATCAGAAACACGTAACTTCTTTCGGTGGAAAAAGGAAGTACCTTGCTGCAGCCGGGAACAAGGTCCTGTAGAAGCTTCATCCTCTCACTGATCTTCTCCCTTCTCAGCTGCACAAAGGATAAAAACATCCATGGTTTCAACACCACTCGCGTGCTCAAATGCATACATACTGCATCCATGCTAATCAAACGAGGAAGCGGTGAGCAAAATCTGTGTACCCTTTCAGCGAGGCTGTGGCTGTTGGTTGCCTGCCCGCGCCGGGCTCGGACATGGATGTAGTCCTCCTTCTCGGAGCTCTCCTTGGCACCCTTCCCCTTGGACTTGCCGCCGGTCGTCGTCCCCGTCGCCGGGCTGCTCTCCTCGCCTTTATCTTTGCTCTGGGCGCTCTCGTTTGCGGAGTCAGCGGCCACGTTGGAAGACTGAACCTGATCACCTCCCATCACCTGAATGAAGCACAGGCTCGTTCTTGAACACCTGACAAAAGTACTGAACTGAAGCTGGAAACACGATGAACAACAGGCAGTATATACCTCGCTGGGCCTTCTCCTCTTCTTGGAGTCGGACCCTTTGGACGAGCAGTCTCCGCCGGCTGCCTCCGAGCTCGGCACGCCGCCGCTCCCGGCGAGCTCCGGCTCGGCCTTGTCCCCGCCTTCCTTCCTACGATGATCCAAGTACCCCTCCCCGAAAGCGCTGCCCATGTGCTGATCGCCCGCGCCGCCAAAAGCGCCAGCACCCATCATCCCGCCACCGGAGCCAGGACCGACGAAGCACGACGATCGCGCGGCCCGCTCGATGAAGCCCGAGTCCACCGGGAAATGGCCCCCGAGGCCAGGCGGCGGGAGGAAGCCGGGCACCGGCGCCAGGAACCCCGCGCCGTGCTGCGAGGCCGCCGGCCACATGCCGGACGCGAAGGAGTCCATCATATGAGGATGCTGCTGGTGATGGTGCGCCGAGAAGCCGCCGCCGCCGCTGAATTGGCTCTGCCACTCCACGGGGATGCCGCCGCCGGGGCCAGAGGACCCATTGCCCTCCATCCCTTTCTCGCTGCTCTCGTTCATGTCCATGGCTCCTACCTAGCTGCCTGCTCCAACAACAAGCGTAGCAAATGGATTCCTCCGCTGGCCGAAAGAACCCGAGAGGCAGACGAGAGGGAAGACGAAGTGCTCTGGTCGGGCAGGGCCGTATGGGCAATGCGATGGGCAAAAGCTCTTAAGGCAGCGAGGCTATGGACAGAAACGGCAAGAAAAGGAGAGGCGGCCGCTGCAGATTGTGGCGCTAGGTGTGCCGGCGAGAGGCGTAGGAAGAAGATGAGCTAGGAAAAGAGGGAGACGCATAGACCATGCTTACATAGCTAGAGGGAGAGTGTGGAGGCAAAGGCTTGTGGCATTTGTAGGACTACACTGCTAGTACTACTACTAGTTCTTCTTGACCACCACCACCACCAGAGGCCCTACTAGTTTCTGTGCATGGTTAACCAGAAAGAGAGAGAGAGAGAGAGATTGGGGCAACAAACCGCTTTAGCCCTCTGCTCCTCCTCCTCCTACTCCTAGTCACAAACTGGGCACCACCGCCATCCACGGCCAGTTTTTTGTTTTGTTTAACAAGCTTTAAAATGTGTTAGGGCACCTTAACCGTCCCCGCTTTACCTTTCCTTTGTTAACAGCCCTTTAATCATGGTGTTTACCTTTGCTTTCCTTCAGTTACGACCCCCTCCGCCTGGGTTACTTACTTGCTCGGCATCGCACCGCACCGCACCGCTCATAGCATAGCAGGAGCAGAGGAGAGGAGCAGGCGTAAAGAGGCATCCCTGACATTGCCAACCCTCGCAGGCATTAGTTTATGCTCGCTTTCTCAAGGTGCCTGCCTGGCTGTAAAACTTGTGCACCCACCCCGCTCATCATTATTTGACTGTTTGCACTTCTTTAATCGGGTGGACACGGGCAATTATTTACACGCCCTCCATGATCGCCATCATTAGTTTTTTGCTCAAGGGAAAATTGGTGGTCAACATTAGGAGGGCTGCGATCGAGGCCTCGCCGTTTTGCCCCCCACGGCAAAGCAACGCCGCTTTCGTTTCGTCCCATTTCATTTCACTTCATCTTTGATAGGGTTTAGGTGAGATTTGTTTGGGCTTTCGAGCGGCGTAGGAAACTCATACTAGGAATTGTACTAGTGTTTCTTTTTCTTGCGAAATTCAGAGATGAAAATAATGAAACCTTTGCTTGATTGATTAGAGGAGGAGTCGCGGTCTGCCCCGGCTGCTGGAGATGCTTTTTCTCGCAGGGCAGAGTTGAGATTCTCCTAATCTCAATCTTTCTGTGGCTGCAGTAGGATAAAAACAATTCGTTAGCCTCGGGGTTAGCGAAGGCTCGAATCTAGCTTTAGATTAGTTAAAGCCTACCACCCATGCAATACTTTTATTCACTCCAAACACGCTTTTGCCCCCCCTCCCCTTCCCCTTCCCTCCTCCTTAAGCTTTCAAAATCCGGGCTTAAGAAAAGCATCAGCAAGGAAGGAAGCAGCAACCATCTGCGCTGATTAACACTGCAAGAAGTGAACTGCAAGTTATTCCCCTGCACTGCAGCTAAGCTTACCTCCTCCATTCCTCTTTATCTTTCTACTCAGCGCAGCAGCGTCCCTCCCTCGCTCCATGCCTTTCCCCTCCTCTTCTGCCTAACATTAGTGGAGCCATTAGTAAACTGTTCACCCCAAAGCGGGAAGGAGAAGATAAAAAGAATTTAAAAAAAGCAAAGGCACGTACGTACGTATACGTAGCGAATCTTGAGAGAGAAATGCCGGGCGGGCCAAAGACTGGAAAGGATACGACTTCAAACTGCCCAGGGCATGGACCACGAGCTGCTGCTGCTGCTACGTAGATAACAAGCCTCGATAGATAGATAGATAGATAGATTCCGAGACCAGTCCCCTCCCCAGCTTAGCTCTGCCTCCGCTTTTCTTTTTCCCCTCCTCATCTTATCTTTGAGAACGAGAAGAAGAGGAAGATCGTGAGGCAGCCTCGTATCGTAGACGGGGTTGTGTTTTGTTAGGGTAGCCCCTACACATGGCCTTCGCCGTCCACGACCCGGTGTCCGCCCACACGCGCTTTGCCAGTCCTGTGCGCGGCAGCGCTGGCCGGGCTCGGCACAAGGCATTTACCCGTGCCATGCCATGCCACCCCCGTCGTGCACCGCAGTCATTGAGGAATGGAACTGGACCCGACCGCCCACCAGATTATCTTCTCCTGCATCATTATGCTCGCCAGAAAGGTTGCCGCAGATCTATGTCTCCCTTCTCCAATCATTGCCGCACAAATTCATGTGTTGCAGTACCATCCGTCCGTCCGTCCGTCCGTGCTCTCTCGCGCCAATGCGAGTGCGCCTGCATCGCATCACGGACGGACAGCGCGCGAGAGCAGCCTATCGACGGACGACGCGGAAGGGGCTTGCTGTCAGCAGGCACGGAGGATGAGCTGAAAACAAGAGCAGCGTTTTTGTCAACAGAAATAATTTAGAGCAAATAGGCGGTACTGATGTGATGAGAGTGACTACATACATGAGTTTAGGTCCTACATGTTGGCAGCAGGACAATCCATCCATCCGTCCGGTGTGAGTGAGAGCAGAGGATTGATTCCTGCAAACAAAAGAAGCTCCAACAAATAGCAGCCAAAGAGCTGTAAGTAAACAAATGGAATAATGTCTGCGCGAGATTAGCTGGCAATCGTCTCTTTAGCGGGTAAGTCTAAAGCTAAAATACACACCCCCTGCTAGAATGGGGTAAGAGTTTTGACATCGGATTCGTTCATCTCACAGAATCTGCTCCCTGTATTGACTATCCTGCTTAGCAAGTTCTGAACGGATGTCTTTTTTTCTTCCCAGGGAAAAAAATAATCACAGCTTTGCCTTTTGAAATTTGAGCATCATCAGAACAGCATACAGCAAATGATTTAGGTTTTTCATTAAGAGAAATTATCTATGATCCACAACAAATATAAAGGAAACAATCCACCATGCCTATCATAGTTTGTGCTAGAACATGCTACAAAAGTTTGTGCAGACACTTGCTATAAAGGGATTTGATTCGAACATGCTAAGCTTCCTCAAAGTAAAAGAAAAAAGAAAACGACCAAACAATCCACCATACCTATCATGGTTTGTACTACATGCTACAAAAGTTTGTGCAAACACTTACTACCAAGATGTATCGAGAAGCAAAGAGCACAAAAGCAGTCTTAACGGGATCATTACCAAGGATGAATGATTTGAGTTGAACATGGATGATTCGATTACATGGCAAGTTGGCCCATAGTATCTCCACATTGTGAGTACACCTCTGTGTTAATTCAGCATTTGTTCCCATGTGCTAGGGTACAGGATCTCTAATTGTGCTTAGGAAAGCGTATGTTACACCTTTCTGTAAACCATAAACAAAGCACAGTCCATGGCAAAGCCAGCTGCACGCGAGATGCAAGTGAGTATATTTTTGGTAAAGGTCGATGTTAGGTGAAACCTTCCTTGTGGGCTATGATTCATACAAAGCAGTAAATATTACCGATTATTCTAAACCCTAATTATGCATTATGGCGTACGCTAATGGTCTTATTATACTCTAGAGCAGTGATTAGAGCTACAAACTAGGGCTTAGGGTGCAAAATACAAAATGCATATCTGGGGAACACTAAAGAACTTCCCCCAAGAGGAAAATAAACTAATAGTGTTGATAAGGGCAGCAGGCTGTTTATTAAGGCCAACCTGTTAATGATTGGCGTGGAGCTAGGGCATTCTACACTATCATATAACATTATGTGCGTGTGCGTATGTGCATGCATGCGTGTGTATGTTGCCTTGTGTGAAGAGAGAGAAAAAAATCAATTTGTAATCATAATGTACCACATCTGGTCGCTTACTAATGCCGTGTAGAACTTTCTGGTGCCTAAGGGAACATATAATAGTATAAACAATAGCTATTTCTAATACCCCTCAACATAATCTTGGATGAATGCAAAACACACTGCTCAATTGTAGAGAAAATGTTATCTATAAATTGTCGAAATAATGGCTCAAAGACTCCGCACCAAAGTGGTCGTTTGTATGAAAGACAGCTTGGTTTGTCTTTGGAGTTCTCTCCCCTTTGCCTCACCCAAAATCAGATGCAGCAAGGCTTTGAGATAACCAGCGTCACACTATTGGAGATTCCCGTTCGATTATCAATCAACTAACATGTAAACTACCCATTCGAATGATAATTCACATAGAAGATAGAGCTACCCAGCTCTGTTCCTCTTAAGAATTCAGTTTCTTACAAATGTTAGAATGTCCCGTTTTACATGGGACAAGGTTGATTAGATTAACTGTTGTCCAGTCTCTCTAAGTCTGGTGTTATCTATAAAGCAATGGCAAACATCATATGATGTGAAGAGTGAAGATGTATGATGCTTTACATCCTTCCTCTTTACAATTAAGATGTCCTTGCAAAATATCACATACAGATGCAAATGTTAATATAATTGCAGAGATAAGAGTAAACATTAAATTTTGACATCTAAGAATTAAACTTTAAGGTTAGTGGCTTTGATGCAAACATGCAAAGTTTCGCTAGCAAAGACAACTACACCTTCAAGAATGTGATACTTACACCTAGGAAGCCTTCCTGTCAGACAGCACCCATGCTATAATGCCAAATAGGCATGCGTTTGCATCATCCACTGTCCTTCCGTTCAAAAGCAAAGCTCCTACATCCACCAGACCACCAGGTAGTAATAACAAGAGCACGGTGGAAGTGATTACTTATATCCAATAGTGTTGATCTTTGTCCTCGTTACCAATCTCACTCTTTAGATGGTTCATAAAGTTAATAATTACTATCACTTGTGCAGAACGCTTCGTGTCTCTTCTGAAATCAACAACAGATAGCAAGGGAGATAATAAGAGAGAAGTGCATATTACACCCCTCAACTCTAGCCCTAGTCTAATATACAACCTCCAACTCCAAAACCGTCTAATCTGCAACCTCCAACTCTTAAAACCGGCCAAAATTCAACCCTCCTCTCCCCTTGACCGGTTTTGAC